GTAAAAAGAGCAAATTCTTCATGATCAATTGGGTTTTTCATTTTTAAAATATCGCGATAATAGGTTTTTGCCCTTTTGAAAATTCCCCCGGTTAAAAAATTCGGTGTTTTCCCGGGGTTACTTTAAAACAATTTTTTCGGGTGGCCCCCCTTTTCTTTGCTTCACAGGGGGTAAACCAATCAGGGGGTTAGCTGTGTTTAAAATTTAAAAAATAAGGGGGTGAAAAAATATTAAATGATTTAATTTTAACAAAAAATTTTTTTTTTCTTACATTATATAATAATATATAATTTTTATATAAGTTAAAAACCTAAAATTCCCGTTTTTAAACAAAAAGCTTTTAAATTTTCCCTGCTTTCGGCCTTGGGCCCTTTTTCAGCAGAGTTTATTTTAATAAATATATCAAAAAAACAATGGAAGTGACTAACCCTCAACAACGAGCCCCCTTGGGGTTGGTTGCCGTTGCCGCCGGGTTTTTCTTTTGTTTTTATCCCTACGGGCTTAGTTTTAATTTTTTTTTTCCCCAAAATTTTTTATTGTTTTTCTGGGATTGTTCTTCCCCTATTTGTTTTTCCGCCCCATTGAAAAAAATTTTCCCGTTGGGCGTTGTTAAAAAAGCCCGCCCAACCCGGATCGTTGTTTTGGTTCGTATTTTGGATAAATTAAAAGGTTCTTGGGCAACGTATTCCCCCGTTTTTCCAACTTTAAAAATAAAAGTTCGCAACGCTTTCAATAAACCCGCTACACAACATTTGTAGATTTGCACGTGATCTGATTTTTAAACCCTTTTACGAGGGCCCCGGGTTTAACCCCAAAGAAAGTGTCTGCTTCAATAACGTCGACAAAACGCACCCCTTTTGGATCCCGCAAGGAAACACAGGGGTTCGGTGTTTTAAAAAAAAGTTTTATTGTGTTTCTTTTTACGGTTTTCTTTGGTTTTTTTCTTCTAAAAGCTGCAAATTTGGGGGAATTTTTTTAATTTTTCCCTTTATTTATTGAGGTGTGTAATTCAGGGAGGGGTTTTCGTTTCTATTTTTCCCACATCGGGGGCGCTCTGGAAAAAGTCAGTACCCAAGGGGGTTTTTTTCAGGGTTTTTTTTATCTTTTAATTTAATTTTAGGTCATTCTTTTTTTTCTATTACCCTTTTTTTAAATTTTGTTTCTATGTCGATCTTCTTGCCTGTTTTGTAACTGGTTTTAAATTTTTCTATGTTTTTTGTAAGTTTATTCTTAAAATACATATTCGCTTAGACGAAAGGGGAAGTCCATAGGGATTATTTTTTTTTTCGATTCCCGGGTGAGCGAATTTTTATGCAAAAAGGGTTTATCTGGGGGGTTTAGGTTTTGGTTTGTTATTAAAATGCCATTCTGAATCCTTTCATTTCTCGGGGGAAAAAATAAATTTTTCAGGGAAGGAATTTCTTAAAATTTTAATTTTTTTCTTGGATGAAGTTTTTTTCCCAAGCTCATGGATGTTTTTTAAAGGGTCGATACCGTGATTCCCAAAACCCCAAAAGTCATAAATACCGAAAAATCAAGCGGAAGTTTTTCTGTTATCGTTTCAGCTGTTTTCCATTTTTCCAAAAATGTTTGATGGGAATTTTTCCCCCAAACGTGAGCCAAACGTTTTTCCTTCTGCTGCTTTACAGGAAAAGCATTGGCTACGTAGGGATGAATTAGCAAACTACATATCTTTGGGTCATGGGGAAACACAGCTGATGACGTAAAAATAAAATTTGTTGGTATATTTCCCGGATGTTTGATACGTTTGGGGGCCTTTTTGGGGCTCCGGTTTTCAAATCGGGTTAAAAAAAATCCCTGAGTTGGGGAAAACCCTTATCCAAAAAATAAAATTAGAATTAAAAATTTTACTGAAAAAATTGGGGGTTTTCGGGTAATGACGAAGATTAAAAAGGGTTTAATAACAGACCTTACCTAAACCCCCAAAAATAAAACCTGTACTTTCTAAAAATTTGGCTCTCCGAAACGACAAAAAAACATACCTATGGCTTTTCCCCCCGTGGGTAAGCGAATTTTTGTATAATGAATCAACTTACAAACAAAAGAAAAATAAATTTAAAATCAGGTTTCAGAAACGAGGCTAAGATCAAATATTGAAAAAAAATTTAAAAAAAGTGATAGTAAAAAAAGAAGTAAACCCATTTCATTATAATGAGATAAAGAAAACCTTTAAAAAATCCCTTGGGACGGGTTTTCCCGGCGCTCCCGGGGGTGGGCAAATAGTACGAAAAAACCTACTTTAATTAACACCTCAGTAGAAAGAAGGAAAAATTCCGAAAACCCCAATTGCAGCATTTAGAAGGGGTAATAACCCACAAAACATTTTTCGTTTATAAGGAAAAACAAAAAAAACTATTTTTTTTAACAGCCCAATCCTTTCTCCTTGCCCGATCCCAAAAAATGTCGTTTTTTCCGGGTTTGTTATTGAAGAGACCTTCATTGGTGTGAAAGGGGCCCCGTATAAAGGTTTTGAAAAGGTTTCCCTGCAAAATTTCGAAAGTTGGTAAAGCAGTTTTTGTAAGCGTTGCGAAAAGTTAAAATTTATGTTGGAGAAACAGGGGGTACGTCTTACCAAAAACACCCTTTTTAATTTTCCGGGTAAAGAAACCAAAAAACAAAGGTCCCCTTAGCGGGGCATTTTTTTTAAAAACGACCAAACAGTAAAAGTTTTTAAAAAGGGGAAAAACTTACGGAATGAACCCCCACGAAAAAAAAAATTTGAAAAATTTGTGGAAAAAAATTTTAAAAACCTATAGGGAAAGTTGGAGTGAATAAAAAAAGAATAAAAACGGCAGGGCGGGAACCAACGCCCCGGGGGGCGTGTTTTGTTGACGTTTCGTCACTTCCCTTTTTTGGGTTTTATTTTTTGTATGGGGAAATAAAAAGTGCTGAAGAAGGGCCCCAAGGCCGAAACTCCCGGCCAAAATTTAAATTAGCTTTTCTTTTTATATAATATTTATTAAAATAATTATCTATTAAAATAATTATATTTTATATATTATTTATATTTTATTATATTTAAAAATTTAAATTTTAAATTTTTTTTTCATTTAAATATTTTTTTTTTGCCTAAACCCGGTTTGCTTTGGTTTTTGATATCATTTTTAACATAAAATTTTTTGTTTTCCTTGACGAAAATTTACCCCTGCGGGATTTGGGGTATGGCAGTACGCCCCTGACATTATAATTACAGTTGTGTTTTATTGGCATTTGGAAGCTTCCTGGACCTTTTAAATAACTTTGAATTATACTAATTCGAAATTCAAGAAAATAAAAATGAATGAAAAACTGTTTTTTTTTAATATAGGACAATAGCGTTTCTATAAATTTTCCGATTACTTAAAGATATAATTTCATCAAAATTTTACTAATAAACAAATTTCCTTGGTATTCACAAATGACAGCAAGTGTTAAACATGATTGTGTAATGTATAGCCTAAATAATAAATCTCTAGTAAATAAGAACAAGGAAAAAAATCTTTAAATAATCGATTGAAACCTGGTAATCAGAACATTAATAAAGAATGAGGATAAAATAAAAGGGGGTTTACCGAGGTTTGATAAGGAATGTTTCAGATAATTCCATCAATATATTGTGTAAATGTGTCTAAAAATACATATCCTCTGTAAACAACTTTGACACAATGAAAGATCAGTACTCTAAAAATGGAACACTGGGAAACAAATAAATAAAATCATCTAAAACAATTAGGATCGAATAAAAAAAATCAAATACTGAATGTGTATGTATGATATTTAGTATCAAATAACTCTCAATTTTATTGATAAATATTTGCATGATACTGAAATATAGAAATCAAAGCATAGAAGGCGCTGAGTTTGTTTGGGTTTGAGAATGTCAGAAAGGTGAAGGTTGTGAGATTATAAACCAATTTGTTTTTGTATAGTGCCACCAATGCTTTCCAGTGTTTTAACGGTATTAAATTGGCTATAAGACTAATTGCAACACTAATAGTCAATTCAATGTTTATTTGATTTTAAAAAGAATGAGTTGCCTCAACTGGGATTTAAGTCGAGACCTCTCAATTCATTAGCGAGGGTGGAAACCCCTCGGCCACGGTGAAGATATAAATCAACGCCTTGAAGAAAACCATATTATTCTAAATTAGGGTTTGTAACTCTTATTATTTAAACGCTAAACACAGATGTTAATAACCATGGAGCTTACTGTAAGCATGTATATCTATAAAGAATGAAGCAATATTAGAAATATTCGACCATTCGCGAACTACTTTGCTTGAAAATTAATGCGCCTGTCATTTGACAATCTTTACGCATTGATCTCCCCTGAATTTTTTCGGCGTTAGTGTTCATATAAAGGGAAGTAACCGCTTCAAAAAAGTGGACTACTTTAGGCATTTGCAATTAACAGCATTAGGCTCTGAAATTTCGCTTCCATTATTTGTTTGGTCTGACGACCCAAACAAATAAAAACGGAATACCTTTAGAACGCCCAAAACGTCAATATTGCAATTGATAGAGTTTGTTCATGAACGACAATGAAAGTGCAAATTATTGTTCATGCCCCCCCCCCCCCCCCATCCCAGCAATGGTTTAGGCAAAATTCAACATTTAAACAGGAAAATGGGGAACTTTTGAATTTAGAAACATCCATAATTGAATTCATATAGCGGCAATCATTAATTACAGCCGTTTGTAACTAAAACCAAGTTATCACATTCGTTGTGCTGGACAATTACATTGAAGATTAAAAGCATGTGCCATTTAACAAACATTTCAAGCCTGTGCTACATAAAGGTGTCCAAAGTCATTAACGATTGGTATCTTATAAAAGACGGTTAAAAGCGCTATCAAATAGGGTCCAGGTTAATATCACTTTCTATGGGTTGTCAATAGCAACACGGGGATATTCGCTGTGATATAATTACTGAAATATAATTATAAAAAATAAGTTCTCTATCTTTTGAGACCAATAAGTTTCTGTTGACAATATATGCAAGACTACAAATATTTTTTTGTACGATATAACAATATCTATTTGCCATCATGAAGCTAATGTAAACGCATTTATACTTCAGTCGAGGTCCGAGACGAATGTATGACCTCGTATGAGTCTTTGTTAACTTGTTGATATGTATTGTTTTTATGAGTGACCTCATTTTCTTGATGATTTAGCCTTTCATTGGATCTATCATATTGTGCTGTAGATTTCAGTCGACCTGAAGATGTACGTCTTGACAGTCTCTTGATACAGAATGTTTGACAACAAAAATGTTTGAGCTCAGATCTAATGACATTACGAATATCACTGTTGTTTAAACCAAAGACAAGCGGATGGCACAGTCCTGCCGTTTTAGCCGTAACTAAGGGAATAAGCGTTATTTCTTTTGATAGGTTTATTTGTTCTTCCATTCCTAGAGTTTTATGTAGAGCAATACAAACATACGGTGTCCATGAGAGAAGGAAAGTACCTGAAATTTCAAGCAAAAAACAACAGCTTTAGCAGTTTACAACCGGCATTTTGTAATCGTTTCTTGGTTTGTCAGAAAATAGTTTAAACATTGTGTAATGTTCATGAGGAAGCGCAGCATAAATATATTTTATTCTTGTATTTTTGACAGGAATATAATCAACCCATGATGTTTGTGTTACTTGACGTTGTTTTTATTAGTCGGTATGTATTTGTATAACGTAAAGCAATAGAAAAGTTTTCTATTTCAAATAATGAAATATTCTATCCTTAGGTTTGTCTATCGCAGGAAGATTCAAATCATATTTGAGCCGCGTCATGACAAAACCAACATAATGGGTTTGCGACCTGGATGGATCTAGACCAGCCTGCGCATCCGCACAGTCTCTTCATGATCCATGCTGTTCGCTATCAGTTTCTCTACTTGTTATAGTGTTTGTAAGCGAACAGTATGGATCCTGATCAGACTGCGCGGATGCGCAGGCTGGTCTGGATCCATGCTGGTCGCAAACGCATTATGTTTGTTTTGTCACGGCGCGGCTCAAATATTCCATCCTTAAATGTTGTCTATCGCAAGAAGATTCAAATCATATTTAATGGTTGAATTCTAACATCAAAATGATACATATTTTCAACAAAATTGACACACTAGACAAAATTCAATTAATATAATTTAGTAACTTTGTAGAACTTTATGTTACGATTAGAAACTAAAGAAGCCATTTAACTGTTGAACAAAATAAAAACGAATTTGATAAGTTAAAGTGCATATACCGCATCTCATACAGAAAAATCAAATATAAATTACGTGACACAATAATCAACCTTCTTACCTAGTGTAATAGCTGTGTTGAAAGCAACATTGTTGTCAATAGTTGAGCCGAAACCTGTTCTTATTGTATGTCTTCGAATCTAAAATGATTAAAGTACAGAACTACTGTATTAACGTTTTGCTATTTCAACTCTGTTAACATATTTACTACTTTTATGACAAATAATTAAGAAGACATTGATTTAATGACTAAACATTAACAAATAAACTCAGACTGAGAAGAAAAACTACAAATAATATTCAATCTATCTAAAACCAAAAAAAAACAAAAAAACGATAGTATTATGGGTGGGGCATAATAAAAATTGGTGCGGGAGAATGAAAGGAATATTAAGATTGTAAAGTGCAGATTATCGTCAAGTTATATTTCAGTTTGACCAAGTGAATTTTGTGTAGAATTATATGTAGCATCCTTAAGTTGTGATGTTTTTAGAATAAAACATAAACCTACCACTTTGTAAATGGTTATGTAACAGTACATTGATGTCAACACTGGCATGATAAAGCACACAAAAAGAAGTCCCATGATGTATCCAATATTGTCATGTGACCAATCAGGTGTACACGAGAGTCTTGATGGTTCGTACACGTATCCGTTCACCATTAGAAGAGGTGTAATAGCCCAGATTAAACCATGAATGTAGCATATAACACCGGTTATATTGGCTGCATGTACTGTTAAATGATGGCGTAAGTCCGGTTGACACATTATAATATACCGTTCAATTGCGACACCTGTATAAATATAAATAAATAAAATCGTGTTCACCATACTTTTATATCAAAAGAAAATAGCATAAAAGAATTTTTTTTATTTTTTCAAATGTTTTCTTTGTAATAAGGTGCACTTCATATGGTAAAAAATAAACGAAAAACAGTTTGTTTACTTAGTATTAGTATAAAGCCAATCCTTCGGTACACAGCCGATTGCATTAGCTTTGTCTTCCATTCACCTTTAAGACAACACAAGAGAAAACACATGCACAGTCATTAAAACTATCCCAGAAGACACTGACGCAATATGAAAGTCGAACATTCATCAAATATCGCGTGTATTCGTGTCAACATGCAACATGCATTTTATATATTCATTTTTTATTTATTTCATTTGTTGATGTGTTTAAAATGATCTCTCTTACAAAAGTTAAATCTTCTAGTCGAGCTAATTAAATCAAGATTGACTTCAGTGGATTATATATTCATGTAGTTGGTCGCATGGTAAAGACACTCATAAAAAGTAATTCAATACAAATAAGGATAACATTCATTGTTAAAATGTTTTGTTAATCAGCGAAACAATATACAAGTATGCACAAGAAGCGAGGGTTAAGATTAATAGTTTCGAAAATGATAAAATTTATAAATCTAAAAATTTAATTTTATTTCTTTACCGAAATCGCATGAATAGTGCAATTTTACTTTCTTGTGTCCTTGAAACATTTACGTGTACAAAACTTTAATTTTATGTCAATTTTAAAGTATATAATAACAGTTGTTGCAAAATGATAATAATAATATTGAATATCAATGAACAAGATGAATTTGTGTGGCGGCTTGGCAAGCTGTTGTTTCCTTGAGCAAGAAACTTTACACTCATTGCTAAGTACTGGTTAGTCCAGGAATGGATTACAGCGGAAAAAGTACAATCTGAAAATCTTTATTGAACTGTTTCTCATAACAAAGATTATTTTTGCAATATCGTCTCATACAAAAAAGAGCTTTTTCCTCACGCAATAGTTAATGTATGTATCTAGTCACGATATAAATTTCTATAGTTTTATTGAAAACAAATTCCATGACTATCATTATACAAATAATCAGACATAATTATCGATTTTGATATTTTTATGAGCAAAATGTAATCAAAGATTTATTAATTGCTCTTCCAACCTGACTGCTGCTATTTAATAATTCATATTGTGTTGTAATATCTCAGTGCTAACGCAAACTGGGGTCAAATATCAGAAATAGTATGAGTGATTATTTTTTCGTTTTTGATATTTCAACGAATATGATTTATATATTTTTTTATAAAAATATAATACATTTCTGATTAGACTCCTGATTTTGATTAGTTATATCACAAACTCTCTGTATCAAATTTCAGTTGATACGTGAGACAGATAAAGAAATTATTATTTATGACGATATTAAAACGCTAACATTTTACCGCAGACAGTTCTTTTCGTTTTATAAATTGTCAATGAAAATATCAAAGAGTTTTTTTTATTCTATAAATGGTGATTAATTTCAAATATCTATTCTCTTTCAAAATCCAATCAATATTTTTTTTTTAAAAATTACAGGCAGCTTAAAGAGAGATATATAATTATGTAGTATATATCTATTAAAAGGCAATTCTAAAAATGTTGATTGGGCACCTTAATGAAGTAAATGATAAAATTATCATCGACTTATAGCAGGAGCCGTGTTTGTTTGATTTTTTTCTATTTAATACTTTGTTAAATCGTGCTTATAATTGGTGGTATCAAATTTTGTATATATTTTGATTTACGATAAAAATTTGATTATGTGATTGAAACTATTGACAGCAATTTTATCGGTGAAGGATTTTTAGCCAAATGAAAATTATATCGTTTTAACATAGTTGAAGATCAACCAATACCATTTAAAATCAGCAATAAGTTTTGGTTGTCACTATAACATTATTTTATTAACACATCAAATATACTCACATGTAAATAAAGATGTTGTGGTTACGCCTAACCAAGTCATTAAGAAAGCGTAAAATACACAACCAACATCAAAGTAAAGCCATCGCACAGACAACATTGAAGTAATAAGAAGAGGTGATCCAAAAATTCGTACTAAAACTTCATTAAACAATATTAATCCTATCATCCTATATATAGGCGATTTAAAACGTTCTGTTTTCCACAGAGCCCATAAAACTATTGGACTTAACACAGACGAGCAAACAAACATTAACATCATCACTATTCCAGAAACAACTGAAGCAAAATAAAAGTCTGGGTCCACATTTACTCCACTGCTTATATTCCGAGTAGCGTTGCCCATTTAACTCCACACTTAACTGCTGATACAGTGAAACAATAAACACTTGTTATCCTAACGCCAGTGTTTTTGACAAATGCGTTAGATTATCGACTTCACACATACTGTCTGTCATCATGTCTGTGATACTGTATACGAAATAACGCTGATAGTGTTATTTACTTTATAATTAACACTTCTTTCCCTGATTTGCATACATTTATATATATAGGTTTGATTACGAAACATCTATAATATTTCCAGACAATTGGCATCAGGGTGGTTCACTAAAAAGACGATTACGCCACACTTCACTCACCCCACACACCACAACCAGAAAAAAAAACACTTTTATTTCACAAAATCGGTTTATTCTTAGTACCCCCCCCCCGCCCCCAACAAAATGATAATATCTAAATTTTACATCTTTGAAATAGGAGCAAATTGGTCAGGGAGCCATCCCCAGTGTACTTTGCTTATTCAGTTCAGTTTGAATGGTATGCAACTACCAATAAATTGTGTTAGTTAATTATAAGTTCAGCCTTCATAAACACTATAGTATAAAGTTCAGAAGCACCTGCTGAAAAATTGTCCTATTGATCGTTATGTTCGTTTATACCAATAAAGCAGCATGTCTCCAGACTGGTCAGCTGTCAAAAGTTACTAAATGCCCATATAGCTGAATCATTATGTTAGTTTCTTTTACAATGTTGCGCTCGGTGACACTACTTTTGCGATAGGCTTTTCACATTAAGTATCATCAAACATTTTCTAAATTCATTAACAAAACAGTATAAAACAAATGTTTGCCCTTTCTGAAGATGAAGAAATGTATTAATGTCACAGGCTAAACGTTTCATTAAATTACAAACTTTATATTAAGTATATGTTTTAACAGTATATTGACGCGAACAATAGTAACAGTTTATCTATTCCTTAAAAAGCTTGGCCATTTCTTCTCATAATTGATTATATATAGCGATACAAAATATTTATTTCTTTTTCTTTCATCGTTCATTTATTCGTAGTCAGCTTCCGTTATAATTACTTTCAGTTATACTGCTTTGCAAATGTACATATATATACGAAATATACCATTTAGTTTTGTATTTTAACCAATAGTATGTTTGGATTGAAGGAACTTGAATCATTAGCACCTTTGATTTGCCATATCCTGATAACTGCGAGTACATACATCTATAATGCATGACTACAATATAACTAAACCTCGGGAATACTTTTACGTCGTCCATGCTAAAACATCATTATTTACTCGTTATTTACTCAAAAAAAAGAACTAAGATATAATATTTAATTACTTGTTATCATTACATATCGTATATCAAAATTACAGTTTGGCACATTAGATATTGTCTTGCATACTTGACTTTGCTCATATTGAGTCATATGTCTTGTGAATGTTACGCATGGTTTATCATCAAAAACCCATATAAATTGTATACATAGGAATACAAGTTTGCTTCTTTAAAAAGAAGCATGCGAGAGGTATTTTTGCTGCTGTAGAAGATTTGTTTAATTTGAAAATATTTGGGGATATTATATGGCATAAAAGACACAATGACTGGTTATAAATTACAATTATTAAACAAAATAGAATTTATTATATTGCAATTAAAGTTTGTTTTACACTTCATCTTTTTTAATGTTTTAAAAGATTATATGCCGGAAACATGGACTTTTTTTCTTGGCGCATTAGGGATACTTTTTCTACAAAAAAAATGTAAAATTACTTAATGTAAATTAAATGATATATATCATTTAAAATTTGTATTTTAAATTCAGTTCCCTTTGTAGAAAAAGTATATAATTCTATATTAAAAGTAGTATCAAAATAAAAGTTTCTAGTAAAGTTCAATAAGCAAATTTTCGGTCACTGTTTTGTTAAATATAATGAAGCATTTCCTCTACATTTTCCAAAACGGGTATAAAGTATTATAATCAAACAATTTTAGTCCAGGGTTTGCATAAAAAATGTTAATATCACTTGATTGGAATAAACAGTATATATACTGTTATATACTGTTATACTGTTATATACTGTTTATAAGAATAAACAGTATATAAAGCTGCATGCCTCAAACCACAATATTAGAAGAAAATCAAACTTGAGGTAAAATTTGTGCCATTTGCGCCAAAAAATCTCCCTTTGCGTTATTTAGACATACCGGTTCAATACACGGTTCACTCGGTCATATAACTAACCACTCTACCACGGAGGCGGTATATAATGTACATGGTGATATTGTAGCTATAATGTTTACCAGAACATGAAATAGTATAGAAAACAATACGGTAATTGATTTATACAGTTTAAAAGATTCAACGGAATGAAACAAAACATCAACGTAGTGTTAAGTAACGTAAATAAATGATATTTTCCGATTTTTCTATGTACCGATTTGTTCACTTCGATGTTAATTTTTCGTTAAAGTTAAGCCGTATTTTGAAACGGGGCATGCGCAAAACAATTTTTGTAGACTGCTCCTAATGATTTTACGCTTAAAATGAGATTCATTCACTGCAATCAGATACGCAAAAATGGATGCCGCCAGCAATCAGTCTGAACACTATGGAGAGGTCTGATGACCTCTCCAATAACCCAGTCTCAGTCTTTGTGAATGACGAAACATCGATGGTGACAACACTGTTATATCAATACAAATCACTTACTTACATCACACATCTGGGTTTTTCATTGACAACATATCATTACTTGAACACTTGTCATCCCGTCATACCAAAAACAATTTCAATTCCATTACGGTGTCAAAACCTTGTATATGATATTTGGAAAGAAAACAGCATTGGACATACTTTTCTATACAATATGAGAGTTATTTTCAGTTTTTGTCAGTGTTTCTATTAAAGGCAATAAAATCAGACAATTTATTTACAAAAAATAAGTGCCACAATAGCGGGAAACAAATGCAGTATATAAAGATTTTATTCAAGTAAATTCCAGAAGGTAATAGACCCAGGAGGACAATATATTTACAAGTAATCGACATATTAACATAAAATGAATACATGCATAAAGAAATCAGCAGTTAAGTACATGATTAACATTTAACATTATTATCTGCTTAACTACATCCGAAGTAAATGTTAGCATACAAATATTTCATTTCTATATAAAGCAATGCACATTATTATAAATTTTCTTGATACAATAACATGTGATAATTTTATATATTCACTAGTACAAATAGAATAGTAGCAAAATGTGTGATTGTCGTATCTAAGTATAATTTCGGTAACTACTACCAGATGAGCTTGTCAAAATATGATAATTAAGGAGTCTCTATAAAATCAATCCGTAGATCCTAGTTACCTCTATCTTGACGTTCGAGAGTATCAAGATAAAATGTGAAAGATCCATAGAAAACATATTACAAAGTATACTCAATATCAAAAATTTAAAATGATTTATGTGAAGGAAAATGAAGCCTTGTTACAAAAACGAAACACAAGACTTCTGATAGCAAATATGATGATCGTTAAATACAAAACGGTTTGATAGTTAATTAATAAACCTTTGTATGTGAGATTCAAATAATAACAATGATAAATGCATGATACAATTCATGTCTGAATATTAAAAAGTATGCTTGTTCTTATTTCGAAAGCTTTATTGACAAAAATACTCAGATTTCTTATTATTTTCAAGTTCTCAGAATTAAATAGTTCTGTTAATTTTAACATATTTGGACGTCTCCAATAATAACAAGATATATACTTCTTTCGTATGAGATTAAACATTGCACATTCTAAAACAAAATGATATTCATCTTCTATGACATTGCAATTGTAACATATTCTTTCATTCAAAGGGGTGCATGTAGGTTTCGTCCATCTTCCCATTTCTATATTCAATGTATAAGACGATACCCTTAATTTTGAAATAAATATGCGATACTTTCTAATGTTAATTAAGCTTAAGTATGGCTGTAGTTGAAAATTTAAAATGCACCTATAAAAAGAGCTCTACTAGAAATTTGAAGTCTACTATCCCAATTCTGTAAAAATTGATCTTTAATTCTTTGCTGCACTAGATTCAAAAATACGTTTGTGTTTCCAACAGTTTGAAAAAGCCATGCATCATAAAAACAAATATTTCGAAGTAAATTTTTACAAGAGAACACCAGTTTTTGTGATTAGGATTATTGTCTATATCTTCTTTTAACATAAGGTACACTTTTCTAACATATTTATTATCATTTAGATTCACAATTTTTAACCAGAATTTAATTATGTTGAAATATCTTCTATTTTGAAAAGAAAGCCTACCCAGTTCACCATAAATGAAATCGTTTTGAGTCGTTTTCTTAACACCTAACATATTTTTACAGAACTGCATGTGCAACCTTTCAATAGATTTCCCAGGTATAAAACCCCAAACCTCGGAACTATAATTAAGAATAGGAGAAACAAGTTTGTCAAAAAGTTATAACCTATGTTTAACAGATATATCTGTAAATTTAAATAAATACTTATTCATCTAAATATTGCCTTTGTGGCCTGTCCAGCAAGCGTACTTTGAGCTTCAGAGAAAGAACTACCGGTTGTAAAAACAATATCCAAGTAAGTGAACTTACTAACAATTTCAACAGGATTACCATTATAACTATAAACGAAATACATAAATATATACAAGTACATAATGGCAAATAGTTATATTACATTCCAAGGATGATAGTTATATATAGATACAATTAGGTGAGAGAAAATTACATATATTAAGGTAACACATTAAGTATGATAAATAGATCAAATTGAATATTTACACCTTCCATAATCGAATCATCCTATGTGTAACAAATAAAATATTTTTACATATATATCTGTAATGTTCCCAGTGTCTAAGAACCAAAGAGTTAAAAGGACTTAACAATCCACAGAATAAAAAGGTAGGCTGAGAGACAAAAAAGTTTATTTCACTTAAGTTATCACAAACACAAAATATTTCGGTAGATATCAGAAAAAAAGACTAGCTCCTGTGCGTCTGGCCGTTGGTCCATATGGCTGGGTCGTATAAGGGTTGCGTTCGTTGAACGCCGCCTTTCCTTGTTGATCTTGTTTATCATTTTT